GTACTTCCTGGTCTTTATACGCTGTGGGAGATGTGATAGAAAAGCTGAAATAAAAGATAGATTGTCTCCCTTTCATTCAATTCGTCCCACACCAACCATTACAAAAGCAAGTGAATGGAAGCAGAACACCCATCTTATGATTCAGAGAAGATGGAAACTAAAGGGTGATACTTTTCATAATGCATTCCAGTATATTTGGGTTCCTTTACCTGATTAAAAACTACAACCGATCGATCCCAATGAGAAAAGATGATTATGTACAGAATTAGGTAGAGCTTCCTTTCCAAATAACTCACCAGTGGCGAACCCAACCAAATTGCTTTAAACAAACGCTGCACATTATACCCTCGCTGCACATTACAATCTTCAGCAAATTGTTTTTCTAATAGCAATATATTTATGAGGTGAAAATGATTACCAAGCTTATACATCTAGGGACATTCATAGAACAAATGATCTACTGGCTTCTTTAGCTGAATGTTCCATAGGCATTCTCTCTCTATCCCACTCCGAAGCTTGTTATTCCTGTTTCACTACTGAGCTGAGTTAAAATAACTCTTATGAAATATTCTAGGGAGAGATGGAGTAATAAAAATTAAAATGGCAAGAAACACTATCCAGAGTAAGATCATAAAAATCTCTGTGTTAAACCCGTCATGCACTGCTGGCATTTAGAAGTCAAGTTTCAGAGGTCCAAAGGAATTAGGAAATCACTTACTTATGATTAGGAAAATATTTCTTTGGGGTACAACATATATATAGTCATTACACATCAATGTGTTTTCTGAAGAATATTACAGAAGGTCATAAATAGTTAATTATCCTGCATAGTCTCCTATCTTCACATTAAATCTATTGATGATGCCATAATATATTAAGAAGCACAGATACCTGAAAAAATGCTGAACTGCCTGTTCTAAGACCTATGTAGCATAGGCAGTGCAATCAAGAAAGAACTAGTATCCTTCTCCCAAAAATATTCTATCCTGGCCTTTCTTGATATGTTTAGGTCTCTCTTTTTGATCAGGTCTGTATACTTACAAAGTGGCAAGGCAGTGGTAGCAACCCCTGTGGCCAAGACAAGGTAAAAGAAATCAGGCCCAAGTTAGGCCCTGACTATAGAAGGGAAAATGCCTGGAGGTAGATAGATCACAATGATCATTTAACATGGTTTGATGCCTAATTTTGGGGGAGAAGAGGTCTGTGCCTTTTCTTTCTCACACCAACCATCCCAAGCACTGCAGACCTGCCATTAGAAAGTGGGAGCAGCTGTTTTAGATGGCAGACAATGAAGAACCAAGGCTGGTGGTATCATGTTAGAGAGCATAGGCTATGGTGTGATTCCTAAGATAGACTGACACTATCTGATGTGGTGCTAGATAACGCTCTTCAAAATATAGAAGGAACATATGGAGTAAAATGGGGCATTTTGTCTTTTGTCTAAGGCAACAAAATGTCTTGAGGTAGCTGTGTTCTCAGACCCTGCCCTAACTTTAGACATAAGGTTGGAAAGCCCTGCTCAGTGATGTGGGGTGAAGTCTACCCAAATTGGAGTTTCATATCTGTGAGGTTGTTCTACACAATTTTGAAATGGAAATCTCACCTTCCCCCCAGCTTTGCAAGCCACAATCCAAACCTTAAAAGATGTGTAGCATCTGTCCATCTGTCTGTCCATCTGTCTGTCCCTCCATCCATCTGTTCATCCATCCGTCTGTCCATCTATCTGTTTACCTGTCTGTCCATGTGTCCACCCATCCGTCTGTTGTCCATCCATCCGTCTGTCATTCCATCTGTCTGTCCATCTGTTCATCCATCCATCTGTGCATCCATCCATCTGCTCATCTGTCCATCCATCTGTCTGCCTGTCCATCATTCTGTCTGTTGTTCCATCTGTCTGTCCATCTGTTGTTCCATCTGTCTGTCCATCCATCTGTCCCTCTATCTGTCTGTCTCTGTCATCCAAGTTGGTTCCTTCCAATGTGGTCTCTTCTGAGAGCAATCATTTGTACAGTGACCACTTTGAAAGTTGTACTGCTCTCAGCAACAAATGTCTTGCAAGTCTTGAAGCACGTAGTATTTAATATCACCTCAAAATGTTTCTTTGCCTGAAAAAGCCGTCTTGACTTTTCTAGCTTGTTCAAAGGGTGTTTTACAGTTTCTCTGGGTGCTTTTCTTTACCAATTCATTTACCTAATTGTTGCTGTTGTTTTGTATTGCACAGTTGTCCATCAAGACACAGCTTGATTACCCATGCTTTCTTGAGATTTAATTGGAGCTTGGGAAATCAGAGAGCTACAGATTACTAGAGAAGTGACTGCTCAAAAATGCAGTGAAAACATTCACCACAGTCACGAAAGTGCACCTACACTCACATGTCTTTTGAATCTGTATCCCTAATGTCCACAGCTTTATGAATTTCCTTAAAATCATTACTGAAAAGTAGCTGACTTCAAGGCCAGAATGGAAGTTGCCATAGGCATAAGCTACTAAAGGTATTATTTTGCACTAAGTAGAATTATTCTAGGGCTCAGCTGCACACATTCCAATCACTGCACGTAAATTCATGGAGAAATCTACAGTCCACCAACCAACCATCCATTGAACATCTGAAACAGGCTTTTGGGAGGCACCTATGTGAATTACTACCTTGACAGACTCCATTTAGGGAAACCATATTTTTTGTGACAGATGTACAAGTGAGATATCAATATCTGTGGCAGATGGAATGTGGAAGTGAGACCTCCGAAGAGATCAATGACAATCTCCTGTTTCACCTTCTTTTTACTTTAATCTGCATTTCATAAAATCTCCATAATAATGTTTATATGAATAAGCATTTGAATATGTATTGTCGAAAGCTTTCACGGCCGGCATACGATGGCTGGTGTGGGTCTTCCAGGTGGCCGTGTTCTGGAAGTTTTGTTTCCTAACGTTTCGCCAGCATCTGTGACCGGCATCTTCAGAGGGCAGGAGCAAAGACAGGAGTTAACAACTCAAT